ACCACTGAGCCATGTCCCCAGCCCTATTTTGCATTTTATTTAGAGACAGGGTCTCACTGAGTTGCTTAGTGCCTCGCCATTGCTGAGGCTGGCTTTGAACTCACGATCCTCCTGCCTCAGCCTCCAGAGCTGCTGGGATGACAGGCGCGCGCCACCGCGCCTGGTGCCTAGTGAGTTCTGATTTGCTGCCAGGCACTGTGAGCTTCTCCTTGCCACATGCTGGGTACTCTTGGATTTCCTGTGACCACCTCTGAGCTTCTGTCTGGAAGACAGCTGAGGTACTTGGAAACGACCTCACCCTTTTTGGGTCTGTTAGCAGGACCAGAACAGCCTTCGTTCCTGGGCTCCTACACACACGCGCACACACACACACACACACACACACACACCTTCAGCTTCAGCGAGAGGTTCTCTCTGGCTGTACAGACACAACTGCAGTTGTCCCCTAGTGTCTGAGGGCTGATCCCAAGGCCCCTGGGATCCCAGAGCCCAGAGTGCTCAGGTGCCTTCTATGAAATGCTGTGACCTTTCCGTCAGTGGATGAGGTCATCTCTAGATGTCGGATACCGTGTTAGCTTTCTGTCGCTAGAGCAAATACTGAGGTCATCAGCTTCTAAAGGGAAAAGGTTTACTTTGGCTCCCAGTTCGGAGGGTTCAGTCCAGGATTGATGAGCCCCCTGCCTTTGGGCCTTGGTGACACAGGCCGTTTGGGCAGGAGCAGAGCAGGGCTTGAGCCGAGCTGCTTACCTCACCATGCCCAGAGGGCCAAGGAGAGAGAGGGGGCGGCCCCACCTCCAGGACCCAGACACCTCTCACCAGGCCCCGCCTCTTAGAGGTTCTGCCAGCTCCAATGACATCACCCTGTTTTTTCCCTTTGGTACCAGGGATTGAACCCAGGGGCGCTTCACCACTGAGCCACCTCCCCAGCCCTTTTTTGTGTTTTATTTAGAGACAGGGTCTCACTGAGTCGCTGCGGGCCTCGCTGAGTTGCTGAGGCTGGCTTTGAACTCACAATCCTCCTGCCTCAGCCTCCCGAGCTGCTGGGATGACAAGTGTGTGCCACAGCACCCAGCTAGCACCAGGGTTTAATACCTGGGTCCCTGGAAGACAATCATCCAAACCATAGCGAATACCTAACCCAACGGCGTGCTCTGTAAACAGGTGCTCCACTATATTGTCTCGGGAGGCCTGACGAGAAGAATATAAATTTATATATTTTGTCTGTTTTTTTTTTTTCCCTAGATATTCCAGACAAGAGGGTTCATCTGATTGCTGTACCTTAGCCAGAGTGGCTTTCATTTTTGTTTTTTTCTTGACTTGCTGGGGATGGAACCCAGGGCCTCACGCAGGCCAAGCACATGCTGTACCACTGAGCCACACCCCAGTCCCCAGGTTTTCTTAAAGGAAGCCCACTGGTGTGTTAAAACCCCGAGCTAGCTTGGATCTAGGTACTTGCCCTTCGTTTCTGTTATTTTTTTCTCTCTGTGCAGTGGGCACTACTGTTAACCACATTTACAAATGAGAGCACTGAGGCACAGAGAGGGCGAGCAACTTGTCCAGCAACACCCAGCCGATCAGTGGGGGAAGGAAGGAACCAAGTTGATCATCTACTCTATAGAGGACATGCCCCTTGTTGCTACCCTCTGCCAACCTTGCCATTAAGAACTGTTTCTTCTTCCTCTTCTTAAATTGAGGTGAGATTCACATAACATAAAATTAGTCATCATTTTGACGGTTGGGGTGAAGCTTAGGATCAGAGCACGTGTCTAGCCTAGCATGTACGTGACCCTGGGCTCAATCCCCAGTACTGCAAAAAACAAGTAGGTAGCATACAATGCATCAGCACTTGGCATATTCATCCAATAGCATAACCATCACCTTATCTTTTCCAGAACATTCCATTACCCCATCCCAAATAGCCATCACTTGCTACTCCCACCCCCAGCCCTTGGCAGCCACTGCTCTGCCTTCTGTCTATGGATGTGTCTGTTCTGCCCATTTCTATGAGTGGAACTGGACGTGCTGTTTCCTGTGCTGACTGGCTTCTTTACTCAGGATGGTCTTGGAGGTTCATCCAGCTCTATTCCTATTCATGGCTGCATAATGTTCCCCCAGGTTAACAGGCCGCATTTCATTTATCCTCCCTCTGTTGACGGGGATTTGGGTTGTTTCTACCATTTGATGATTGTGAACGGTCAGAAGCTCACTTTAAATGTGGCAAAGGATGAAATGGAGAGCGAGGTCGCAGCCAACCCCTACTTACAGTTGAGGCAGGTAAGGCTCCTGCAGGAGGTCTGGGGACATGCCCAGGGCCACACAGTCCTGTTGCCATCAGTCCAAACTTGAGCCACGAGGTTCCTCAGCCGCATAGCAAGCACTTGCTGTGTGAGGGAGCCTTCCCACGGGAAGGGACGGGGAGAGTGGCAAGGGGCCTGAGACTCAGGAAGGGCTTCCCCGGAGGCAGCAAGCTGGGGCGGGGCATGCAGCAGTGTCACAGGTGTGGGGAGAGGCAAGGCCCTGGCCAGGAGGGCCTTGTGGCTGCAGGGGTGCCAGAGGCCAGGACGGGGAGATGACAGGAGCGCCCCCTGCAGGCACCAGGGCCACCACGGGGAGTTGCAATTTAATTTGGGACAAGGCTGGAGCTGGGAAGGAATGTGATGTAATCTAGTTCTTCATCACCATCATCACCATGTTGTGCGGTGGGTGCTGGGGTGGCCCCGGCTCCCCGCGTGCGCAGCCCGCGCTCTGTGCCTCCCCATCCTCGAGCGATTCTGGATCCCCCGGTGCAGGGCCGGGGCTGCACGGGGTTGGGGTTGTTGGTGGCCATGGTGGGGTCTAGGTCTCCAAATCCCTTTGCCATGGAAAACTTGGGTGCATCTGAGAAACCTCGGAGAAGGGTCTCTGTGTGGCCGGCGGCCTCGCCCGCTGTGCGGCAGTGCAGCTGGTGACTTCTGATGACAAGAAGGGTCCTACCGCAGGAGGCTGGACACCAGCTTGGACCCGCCGCTGGCTGGCGGGAGAGCTGTGCACACAGGGTGGACCCGCGTTTCCTCTTTGGGACTTGGATCTTGCTGAGGTTGGGACATGGTTGCAGCGTGTCCCCAGGTTCACGGGTTGGAGGCTTGGTCCTGGGTGTGGCCTGTGGAGGGCAGGGGCGGGGGTTTAGCAGGCACAAGGCCCTGGCTTCCACCCCAGTACCAAAAAAAAGAGAGAGAGAGAGAGAGAGCGTTGGTGGGAGGGTAAGAGGAGGGGCCCAGTGGGGAGGGTGGGCCGCCCAGCTCGCTCCCTGCACAAGGAGCCCAGGCAGTTTCAGGGACCCTGGCTGGTCCTCCAGAGAAGGCTGTTAGAGAAGGGTGAGCCGAACCAGGCCAGTGGCTCAGGCCTGTCATCCCTGCTACTTGGGAGGCCGAGGCAGGAGGATCTCAGTCCAAGTCCAGCCTGGGCAACCAGTGAGCCCTGTCTCAAATCATATAAGGGCTGGGAATAGAGCACCCCCGGGTTTGAGCCTGACCCCTAACTGCCGTCTGGTGTCCTGCTTTGCCGTGTAACCTCCCCCTCTCGCACCTGCTTCTACCCTGAGATCCCCACCAGAGCTCAGCCAAAGCCTGAGCCAGGACCTCAAGCTTCACAACAGTGAGCTAAATAAACCCCCTTTCTTATAAAGTAACCCAGCCTCAGGCATTTTGTTATAGTAATAGAAAATGGACTAATACAGATCTTCTCTGGGCTAATGGTCCCCTGTCATGACGCTGGGCGGCGGCAGTCCTGGATCCCAGCCAGCCCTGTATCACGGGGATCAAGCCACACTACAGTGCACAGTGTGGCTAAGCTGGTGCACAGCAGGTGAGGCAGGCCCCATGCGGCTATCAGGATGTCACCCCACTGCAAGCAGCTGTGGTGGGAGCAGGCACGGGAATCAGGGTTTGATGGTGTAGAAAGCAGTGGAGGCAGGGAGGCCCAAGGCTGCAGCTGCAGGCACCACACCTGCTCCGTCTCTTGATCCTCAAACTCTTTTGGGAGAGTGGGTACCAGGGATTAAACTCAAGGGCACTCAACCACTGAGCCACCTCCCCAGGCCTATTTTGTATTTTATCTAGAGACAGGATCTCACTGAGTTGCTTAGCGCCTCGCTAAGTTGCTAAGGCTGGCTTTGAACTCGTGATCCTCCTGTCTCAGCCTCTGGGATTACAGGCATGCACCACCAGGCCTGGCCTCAAACTCTTTTTTTGTTCTGAGGCAGAGTCTTGCTAAGTTACTTAGTGTCTAAATTTCTGCGCCTAACCTTGAACTTCAGATCCTTCTGCCTCAGCCTCCCCAGGCCCTGGGATTACAGGCATACACACTGTGCCTGGTGATCCCTGTGACCTTTTCATCACAAGCCTGAGATGATTGGAAGCTCCCTAAAGAGTGGAGTCCATCTGCAAATGTATATTTTGAGAACTTGCTCCCTACCACGCACCAAGTCTAAAAATAATTTTTATCCAGAACAACAAAGGGGGACTGGGGATGTAGCTCAGGGGTGGAGCATTTCCCTAGCATATGTGAAGCCCTGGGTTCCATCCCCTGAACCAAAACAGCAACAACAACAAAACCATATTAGTAATGGCAACTAACATTATTTGAACACTTAAAATGTGCCTGGCATTGCTTGGAACTGTGTCAATTGGCCCATTTAATTCTTAACAACTCCCCTGCAAGGGAAGGACTTTATTACTCCCATTTTATAGATCTGGAAACTGAGGCTCAGAGAGGTTAAGCATCTTGCCTAAGGTCACACAGGCGAGGTTCAAACCCAAGAGCCTGGCTCCAACGACAATCATGCCACCTTCCTTGGAGATGTGGTGAGAGAGGGGAGGAACAGCCATGGGACACAAAACATGTCTCTGCCTGTTCCACGGGAGCGGTCAGGGCAGTTGCCTGTGTCCTGAGGACAAACAAGGCTGTCCCCAGGAGCGCATTCTCCTTGCTGGTATCACGAGCCTCCCTCTGTTCTCCTCCAGGAGCTGGAGAAGCTGGGTCTTGGTGACAGCGTGGACCTGCACGTGTATGAGATTCCGGTTGAGTACAAAACGGTGCAGAGGCTCATTCCCGCCCTGTGGGAGAAGCACAGTCCCCAGGTGAGGAGGGCGGGGCTTCCCGGGGCTCCACCACACCCAGGGACGCTGTGTGGCCCGCCTCCTTCCATCATGGCCAGTGCCAGAGCCCCCGCCTCAAAAGGGACCTGCTTTTCTGGTCTCTGTGAGGGAGGAGCGCTGTCTTTGGGACCTCACAGCCTGGTTCTGTCCCTCAGTGAGGATTTGGGTTTGGTTACAAGTGACCTTTAGGAGCTGCGGGGTCAGGTCGTGCAGCTCAGTGGCAGGGCAGGTGCCCGCGTGCACAGCCCTAGTTCACCCCCAGGACCCCCCAAAATAGAAAGCCGGGCAGGTGGCACACCTGGAGGCTGAGGCAGGAGGATCACAAGTTCAAGGTCAGCCTCGGCAACTTACAAAACCCTATTTTAAAATAAAAAAATTAAGAGGGCTGAGGCCGTGGCTCGGGGGTTAAGACCCCAGGCTTCAATGTCCAGCACCAAAAAACCCCATAAATGACAGAGTGCCCAAGCCCCTCTCGACGTGATTTGAACAGAAAAGCGTGTGTGCTTCAGGGGAGGTCGATCCGTGTCCCGCAGCGCTGTCCGCATCCTGCTGGCCTCAGCTGCGCTCTGCTCTGCGCTGGGAAGCGCCTCTGGGGGTACAGGTGGCGGCAGCTGGGTGACCTCGCATTTTAGCCCCTGGACAGGAAGAGAACCGTCCCCCCAGTATTTCCCCAAGGTCCACGGTTGATCCTGATTGGCTAGCTGGGGTCACGTGCTGGCCCTTGAGCCAATCACTGTGCTGGAGGAGGAGAGGCCTACTCTGATTTGCCAAGCCTGGGTCACGTGTCCACTCCCGCAGCCGAGGGTGACCTCGGCTCTCTCCAGACCACCTGGGGCGGGAAAGAAGTCCAGGGGGCAGCAGTCCTGGCCTCCCATCACGGGTTGTGCGGCCCAGCCAGGATGGTGGGCGGAGCCTAGCTGGCTGGTGCTGGTGGGAAGTGGGGTCCTAGGCCTCCTGTCGTCCCTCGTGCCTCCTTTAGGGGCTCCAGAGCGGGCCAGAGGGTCTTCCTTTTTAATTTGATTATTTATTTATCTATCTATTTATTTTTATTGGCAATGCTGGAATGGAACCCAGGCATCCCAAAAATCTAGGCCATTGCTGTACCACTGAGCCACGCTTTCAGCCCTTTTTTTATTTTTTGAGTCAGGGGAAGTTGTGGAGGCTGGCCTTGAACTTGGCAATCCTCCTGCCTCAGCCTCCGAGTCTCTGGGATTGCAGATGAGCGCCACTGTACCTGGCAGGCATCTCCCTTTCCAAGGAGGCCTCTTCACTGGTCTCAGGTGGAATTTTCTTTGTCTTGGAGAGGGGGTCCTGGAAGCTTGTGGACCAGGGGTTCCATAGATGCTTTCCCCTCCTGTTACATTTAGGTAATCTTCTTCATCCAGTTTAACAAATAAAAGCAAGTTACAGTCACATGTTCCTGTGTTGCTTAATGTGGGGATATATTTTAAGAGATGGGTCAGGTGATTTTGTCACTGTGTAAACATCCTGGAGTGCACTTCTATATCCCAGGTGGCGTGGGTGGCCTTCCCACGGCCTTTTTTTATTTTTTATTTTTTTGTGGTGCTGGAACTGGACCCTGGACCTCCTGTGTGCTAGGCAAGTGCCCAGTCCCTGAGCCACACCCCCATCCTTTAGGGGAAAAGTTACTGATGAGATATTTTACAGTCTTTTGTGCCGGTTTTCCGTACTTGGACTACATTTTCCACAAAGGACACAGTTCAATCTTGAGTCATACATATCCTGTGCCCAGAAGGCACTTGTGGCCATGGGTAGCTACCAGAAGAAACAGCAGGTTCTTCAGCCTAAACTTTATTTTACTTTATTTTATGAATTATTCATTTTATTTTATTTTATTCTTTTCAGCCTACATTTTAGTTTTTGTGGCACCGAGGATAGACCCTGCTGCACCTCTGAGCTATATCCCTGGCCCTGTTTTAGTTGATTAGAGACAGAGTCTTGTTAAGTTGTCAAGGCTGGCCTCAAACTTGCGATCCTCTAGCCTCAGCCTCCTGAGTCTCTGGGGCTACATCTGGCATTATTAGCCTCATGGCTGGGGAATTTTGGGTCATTTGTGGAGCTGTTCTGTTCCTACTGGGCATACTTGTTTCTGGGCTTTTTCTTGCTTTCATTTTCTTTGGGGTTTGGGGGGTTTTGGGGGAGGTGGCACCCAGATTTGAATCTCACTTTTCTAAACAACCCAAATTTAAGTGTAAAATAAAGTTAGTTATAAAGAGAAAGTGACCATCTTCCTTACATCTTGGATACCTTTCAGACTAGATGCCTGGAAGCTACGCCTTGCCTTTTGCACTTGGCAACAGGTCTTGAGGATTATTCTATTTAAAACTGCCTTGGGCATTTTAACAGCTGCATAATGTTTCATTGTTTATTTATCCTCCACTCAGGAATGGCTAATTAGGTTGTTTGCAATGTTTGTAAGGGCACACAAAGCAGCCATAAGTACCCTTGAGTGTTCATTCCCTTGCATGTTTTGCATGGTAACCTTTTCTGTGAGAGTGACTGCAGGGTCTATTCCAGCAGCAAGAAGTCAGGAGCCATGTACCCCAGGCAGAGCGGGGGTGGGGGGGTTTGCTGTTCTCTTTGGCCCGGGGTCACCCCCAGTCCCGCGGCCAGGCTATGTTAAGCCCTACCCATTTATCTGCAGCTGGTGGTGCATGTGGGGGTATCGGGCATGGCGACCACAGTCACACTGGAGAAATGTGGACACAACAAGGGCTACAAGGGACTGGACAACTGCCGCTTCTGTCCTGGCTCTCAGTGCTGCGTGGAGGACGGGCCTGAGAGCATCGACTCCATCATTGACATGGATGCTGTGTGCAAGAGGGTCACCACGCTGGGTCTGGATGTGACAGTGACCATCTCACAGGATGCCGGCAGGTAGGGCGCTGTGGGCCCTGTGGTGGGTGTGAGGGGGTCTCCCTGGCTGGCTGAGGCTGGTACTGGCAAGCCCAGTCTGTCGGCTTTGGCCTTTTTGGATGGGGCACTCAACACACACGAAGCACAGAACTAGTTGCCACTGTCGGCCTCTGTGTTGGAGGGTCGATGCTGCACATGTCTGTGCACGGGTGCATGTGTGCTGACCGGTGCTTTTCCTGGTCATCATTCCCCCAGCAGCACAGGATAACGATGACCCCATAGTAACTCCCTTGTATCAGATATTCTAAGTCTTCTAAAGAGGACTTGAAGACCCCGGGAGGACGTGTGAAGGTTTTGTGCAAATACTACCCACTCTGTGGAGGGTCTTGAGAATCCCTGGGCGGTGTTATCCATGGGGCTTGGACCAGGTCTAGGACTTCATCTGGCTTTGCTTTGTTTTCACGTGGGTAGGGCACATCACAAGCATCTCCCTGGGAATCCCCTTCCCCAGTTTCCATTTGGAGGCAGCCAACATGCATCTCGGCGGGTTCTCCGTCACCCCCACCCCCACCCCCACCCCGCTCTGCTGCTTTCCTTGTGGACGACTTCATAGTATTCCACTGGGCGGGAGAACCAGAGTCCCTCAAGCCCCCTCCGTTAGCAGACGTGGAGATTGCCGTCAGTTTTTCTGCTTTTTTACGTAACCGTGAAGGTCCTTGTTTTTGCTCTCCTGAACCCTCGTGCGGATGTTTCCCAAGAGGAGATTCTCGAACCTGGAAATGCCAGGTTGAAAAGTCCACACGGTTACAATTTCACTAGCCCGTCCACTCGCCTTCCCTGGGGGACAGGCAGCTGTGGTTCCCACCAGCACCGTCCCACCCTGCCCACTTCTCCACGTGGACCCCAGCACTTGGAGTAGCCGGGTTTTCCGTGCTTGCCCGTTGGGGAGGGGGCAGTGGTCTCCCATTTGGCAGATCGCTGTGTGCCCGGGGCGTCTTCCCGCAGGTCGCATGCTCGGCCACCTGCGTGTTGACGGGCTGACCTGGTTTGTCCTTCCTCCCGTGTCCTGTGGGTCAGGTACCTGTGTGACTTCACCTACTACACCTCCCTGTACCAGAGCCACGGCCGGTCGGCCTTCGTCCACGTGCCCCCGCTGGGCAAGCCCTACAACGCCGACCAGCTGGGCAGGGCGCTGCGGGCCATCATCGAGGAGATGCTGGACCTCCTGGAGCAGTCAGAAGAGAAAATCAACTACTGCCACAAACACTGAGAGCCGCAGGCCTCCCAAGACCTCCTCCCGTTGGGCCCCAAGAGGGATGTCCTCCCTCGGGCCTGGCCAGGAAGACAAGCCGTCGTCCCGGGTCACCCAGCTCCTCTCTCTCTGCAGAAGCTCCGGTGGACTTGAAGCAGAGGCTGGGACTTCTCCTGTTCCCCTGTGCACTGGGGGACACAGCCGCCACAGCCAGGAGGTCAACCAGTGGGCCCGGACGTCCAGAGAATCTTGGTCAGGTGGCCCGTGCTCTGTGACCTCCGGCCGGGCCGCCTGCTCATCTGCCTTCCACGTCTGTGGGTGGAGGAGAGCGAGCCCCTGGCTCCTGGCTGGTTTGTCTCAAATTTAAGTCTCATGAAGAGTCTCAGCCGAAAACTGTCCCCAAAGCTTGGGTGGCCCCAGATGAGACTGCCCTGGGATGTGGCTGGTTTTCTTTTCTCTTTTTGAGGACAGTCGTGTGAGCTGGGAGCCGAGAGCGATTGCTAACCCTTGGCTCAGCCGAGGACAGATGGGCCTTTTCTTTTTCCCAGGGTGTGGCCTCCAAAACTGGACTTAACTCTTGTCTTTGTGTTGGGACAACAGTGGCCAGGCCACAGTGCAGCCACAGGGGCCTGGTCCCTTGACACCAGAGCCGTGTGCCCGTGGGACAGCTGCTCTGAGCCGCTGGGGATCCTTTGACACCTAAAGTAGCCACCGCCTCACTGGGCATCTGGGCTTGGGGCCTGGAGCTGGCGTCCTGGAGTGTCCCCGCGTGTCCCTGCAGGGGCTGGCGGGCCCCGGTGGGCTTCGTGTGAGTGGTCTCTGGGATGTCCCCAGGACTCGGGAGTCGCTCTGCCTCGCTCCCTGCCCACTCTGAACTTGGCGGCCTCCCTCAGCAGGTGGCTACGCTCAGCCCGACCCTGAGGCCTGTCAGGAGAGAGCGTCCTCCTGTAGCAGTGCCACCAAGGGAGGAGGACGGCGTCTGGGGAACCATCGGCTTTTCTCTGGGGACGAGGTTTCCCTGTTGCCCTGGGAGGGCGCGCGCTGGACCCTGTCCCTGGATGAGTCCTGCTTGTGTCCCACCGGGTGTTCCCCAGCCCCAGGTGGCTGGGTGGGCCTTCTGACTCCCTTCCCCTCCCTCCCGTTCCCAGGTCGGTGGCGCCTCGTGGCCATCTGGGACCTGGCGCTGGTCCTCTGGGACCTGGCGTGGTCTTGGCCACAGTGTCCTGAGCCCTGGCTCTCCCTGGGGGCCAGCAGCATGGTTGTGTGACCCGGCTCTGCTCTGGGCAGCGGGCTGGACTGTGGCTGGCAGGTTAAGGTGATTGGGACCCTGCCGCCTCCATGCCAGCCCTTGCTCTGTTGGGCACTGTCCCCCAAGACCCCAGCCTGAGCACAGGGTCTGTGGAGAGCCACGTGCTCGGCCGGCTTCTGTGGCAGAAGAACATGGGGCTCTCGGGACGTGGGGCCCCGGGATCTCATTCAGACCGACCCCAGGCTCCTCCGTCCGTCGGGCCATCTCTGTCCCCCAGAGGCCCCAGCGTGACGGGGCGGGAGGGGCCGTCCTGGGCTCTCTGGGCACCTGCCCAGAGGTTTCCATGTCTGGTCCCCGTCCCTCCCTGTGTTCCTGGTCCTGTGTGGCTCCGCCCCTCAGAGGTGTGACGTCCCGCACGTCGCTCTCCTGCCTTCCTCAGGAGCTGCCCCTGCCATGCACAGCGCAGGGCGGCTCTCACGTCATCAGATGCCATTAAACCCGTCACTCACGTCCTGCCAGCTTTTATTTCCTCAGGGGTTGACGTTTTGTGACGTTTCTGTTGGGTGGAACTCATCGCTCGCTCCATGGTCTGTCTGTCTGTCTGTGTTGGTGGGTCTTGGCCTAAAAATGTCCCTGTGTGAGAAGGGAGGACCGAGTCTCCCTGTCCCCGCTCATCTTCAGACCCGGGGAGCTGGCAGACGGTCGGTCTGAGGTGGGGAAGGCGATGACAGTGTTCATGGTGGAGAGTCAGGCTGGGGACGTGGCGGGCAGCTGGGGGAGGAGGGAGGTGACGTTGGGCAGGTCTGTGGGAAGCAGCCGGGGAGCCCCTGGGGTGCTGAGGAGGGGACGGTGAGCAGGCATGGACCTGATGATGGCTCCTTTTTCACAGATGCCACAGCCTGTGACCTCTGTGTCTCCTGCAGCCCTGGGGGCCTGGGGAGGAGGTGGGTGGCGTGTGCAGGGCTGTAGCCTGAGAAGGAAGTGAGACTGTGGGGTGGGAGGGGAGAAGGGCAAGGGGAAGTCTGACTGGTGGACTGAGCTTGGGGTCACCTGGTGACACCTGGCGACCTGCCAGGTCAAGGACTGGAGCACACAAGGTCCCCGAGGCCACTCACGCAGGGCTGGCCAGGGGAAGGAGGGCTGAGTCATGAATTCCCAGTCAGTGCCAGAAATTTAAGAAAATGTCATGTTGTGCCAGGCACGGGGTGGCACGCGCTTGTGATTCCAGTAACTCAGGAAGCTGAGGCAGGAGGATCACAAGTTCAAGGCTGGCCTCAGCAGCTTAGTGAGGCCCTTAGCAACTTGGCAAGACCCTGTCTCAAAAAGGGCTGGGGATGTGGCTCAGTGGTTAAGGCCACCGGGTTCAATCTCCAGGACCAAAAAAAAAAAGAAAGAAAGAAAATAAAGGGAAAATGTCACATTGCAATAGTTTCAGCGAAGGGAAATCCCCTGCTCTCTTCTTTGCTGTCGTGGAAACGTCTAGAACAGCCAGGGTCTGCTCCGAGGCAGGGGGGCTGTTTGTCCTAGGAGCAGGCCCACCTGGTGTGTGGCTCTGGCGCCTGCGCCCCACCCTGGGGGCCAGGGCTGGAGGGGCTGCAGGAGATCCAGCCCCACACCCCCTCTCCTGGCAGCCTGTCTAGACGGTTGACCTTTGACCTCCCCGCCCCCTCACAGCGTCTGCACCCAGAAGTCGGGACAAAGCTCCTTTCTTCTCTGTGGCCTCAGCCTCTGCCCCAGACTACGGGGCAGCCTCCGGAGGCGGCCTCGGGCACCAATGGCCTCACAGACAGACTCGGGCGCCACCAGTGGCCAGGGACAGTGAAAGGGCTTTGTCTCCTTCTCCAGGTGCAAATCCTCACGGCCGCCTGTGGGGGCTGGGGGGGGAGCGTGTTTGCCGTGGGGAAGTTGGGGACCCCCCAAGACCCTCTGCACGGGGCTCCTGGGGGCAGGCCTGGTCGATGTCCCTGTCTGCAGGGCTCAGGCCTGGGGGGTGCTGAATGCCCTCGCCCAGACGTCCCCATCCCGGTGGCCTGTGTCTGGGCTGGTTGTCACACACTGTCTGGGCCATCTGAGGACCTTTCTCCTGTTGCCCAGCGACACACAGAAGTGCCTGCCCTGCTCCCGTGCTCGCGGGGCACAGAGAAGGGGACAGGTCCTGGTGCTGGCAGTGGCCATGGCCCCCTCCACCTGGACCCAGGTTGGCCCGCGCCAGGGTTTTGTCTTGAAGTCCCCTGGCTCTGGGTTCCTCACGGCCTGTGGCGTCCCCGTCCTGTCCTGGCCCATGAGGAGAGGCCACACCTGGGCCTTAGGAAGGGGCCCCCTTTCTGCCTGGCTTGTTCTGGGGCCCACCCAAATCTCAGGTTTTCATTTTGTTCTCAATTTCTAGGAAATAGTTGTTCTTGCTGAAAGTGACTGTTTTCTGTCCCCCGGGGAGGGCCCCGCCCCTCCGTCCTCAGTGTGGCTTCTCCCCCACCTGAGTGCCTGCCAGTGCCTTGTCTGAGACCCCGTGTCCGGGGTCCCCTGGAGCAGAGAAGGGTCTACTGGGCTCTGCTCGGGGCTGGGCTCTGGGAGACTCCACACTTGACACCCCAGAAGCAAATAAAATAGTTGAAATGTGTCATTTTCTGTGTGTCCTTGTGTGAGGCTGGCATCCGTGGGGGTCGTCTGCAGCCTGGGGTGTCAGTGGGCAGAGGGGACGCCTCTCACTAGGTTTTCCATCCTGGGTGGGTGACGTGGTACTCGGCTCGTGGCAGCTGTGAAGAGGGTGTTGAATGAATGAGAAGAGGGATTTTGTGGTGTTTTTGCTACTGAGGACTGAACCCAGGGGTGCTTTGTCACCAAGCCACATCCCCAGCCCCTCTTATTTTTTATCTTGAGACAGGATCTCGCTAAGTTGCTGAGGCTGGCCTCAAACTTGAGATCCTCCTGCCTCAGCCTCCTGAGTAGCTGCCGCTACTGTACCCCAGAAGAGAGGACTTCTTATTGCCTGTTCTCTGTCCTCAAATCCAGGTGACAGGCTGGGGTTGTGGCTCAGTGGTAGAGCACTTGCCTCAAATGTGCAAGACCCTGGGTTCGATCCTCAGCACCACATAAAAATAAATGAATAAAGGTATTGTGTCCTTGGGGTCAGGGGTGTGTCTCAGCGGTAAAGCACTCACCTAGCATGCGTGAGGCCCCGGGTTTGATGCCCAGTATGGCAAAAACAAAAACCAGTGGCCTTTGTTATAATGCATAGAGTGGTTGAGGAACTGTGTCATGGTCACACAGCAAGGGGGAGCAGGTGCTAGAATTAGAACCATGATCTGTGTCAACCTGTACATGTACAACCCCCAACAGCGGGTGGCATGGCCACCTTATACAGACAAGGAAACTCGGGCCCCACCAGTGGAAGCCCCCTGTCTTCTTGCCACAGCTGTGGAGAAGAGGGGGCTGGGGCATGAGCCAGGCCAGACTCTCCAGAGCTGAGCAGTTTGCAGAACACAACAGGATCTTTCCTCGCTCATGTCTGACCTTGGCCGGGCGGGATGAAGACCTGCCCGCCTCAGCTCCATGGCTGTCTCAAGAATCACCCTGTGGTGGGACTTTAGTAGTCAGGAAAGCATTTGGGGGAACATGAGGCCCATGGGAGAGGGAAGCCTTGGAGCCACTGAGAACCCAGAGTCTTTTTTGTTTGCTTATTTTTTGAGATGGGGTTATGTTGCCCAGACCGGCCTTGAACTCCTGGGCTCAAGTGAGCCTCCTGCCTCAGCCTCCCAAGTAGTTGGGACTGTAGGTGGTGCCACCACTGCGCTGGCCTGGGCCACACCTTGGAAAGCTCTCTCCACCGTCCAGGAGCATCCTGCTGAGAACCAAACCTTTAACACAGGGCTCTTTGGGGACCCTTAAGACCCAAACCACAGGGGCTCAGCGACAGCACGTGTGTACGCGTGAAGCCCCGGATCCATCCCCAGCACCACAAAACAGGAAGAAAGAAACTATAGCAAAAAAGCAGGATGACTTGCAGGAGTGCTCACCCAGGGACTGGTCACAAGGACAGCGTCCTTTACAGATGCCAGTGTCCTGTACGAAAGGGCAGCTTTTCTTTCTTTTTTTTTAAAGAGAGAGAGAGAGAATTTCAATATTTATTTTTCAGTTTTTGGCGGACACAACATCTTTGTTTGTATGTGGTGCTGAGGATCGAACCTGGGCCGCACGCATGCCAGGCGAGCGCGCTACCGCTTGAGCCAAATCCCCAGCCCCCGAAAGGGCAGCTTTTCCAAGCTACTCTTGTTT